CAAAAAACTTCTTAACTGTTTGGCACGCTCCATCTAAAATCTAACTCCTCCAAGCGAGGCGCCGTAGCTCAGTTGGTTAGAGCGCCTGTCTAGTAAACAGGAGGTCATGGGTTCAAATCCCATCGGTGCCTTTCGTTTTTCTTTTTTTTCATAATTTTTATCTCATATACTTTCATAAATTTTCCCGTTTCCTGTGTCAAAAAAACACTGGTAACAAGAATGGTTCGAAGGTAATGAAGACCAAAATAAAGCTCACTGCGTCAGAAAAAAAAAACAGAAAATCACAAACGTTCAACATGGAGTTAAAAAAAACAACAACTGCCTGAATCTTCTCAAACACAAGTAAACAGAAAACTAGTGGCAAGTAACCGAGCTTAAACAAGGGAAACTCAATTCCTCAACGGTACTCAGAACCTTTCCTTTCTCCAAAAGCTAAAAAAAAACATATTTCTCCATCTCACCACCAAACGTAGTATTTAATATCTTTCCTATTCTATTTACACGCAGGAGCCTTTCGACATTGTTAATCTTAGCAGTATACAGGACAAATGTCACATGCGGACCTAGCGATGACCCAGTGCAGCGTTGTGTCATTGTGGCTCAGGGCTAGAGAATTGGAGGGCGGAATCCGAAGATCTAAGGTTTAGCTTCTCGTGAGGACTCAGAACTTTTCCGTTTTTCTAAGCTTGAGACAAGACAAATGAAAAACATCTTTCTCCCAGGGAAACTTAATAAGACGAAGAACAAATTTTTTATTACATAAACAGCTTTAAACTCTCTCTCTAACAGTTCAAAAAGGATCCGATCGATAGCAGAACCTGGATCAAATTTACTCCAATTTTTATTGCTGCAAGGGGGAAATAAAGTTTATCCTTAGAGGATCGCTAGTGATACCATAGTGAAATACTACACCCGTCCGCTTATGATCTGAAGTAAGTACATCAAGAGAGGATAACCTCTCTTGGCTACGTTTTTTATGAATTGAAGCATTTATTAAGACTCTATTGCTTGAAAAAAATTCTTTTTCGGGAAAAAATTGTTTCTGGCATGGCTCGAGCCTGCGACCTTCCACGTATCAGGCTGACGTGCAACCTCTTTCCTTCGGCAGCCAAACGCACATATTCCATTTAAGTTTTCGAAGCTATTTCAATATGGCCTGTTCAGTATCGTTATCAGATTTAACCATAACTCAATTCGAAAAAGCCCAGTAGGAGCCAGATTTAATGATCTCCTATCATAGTAATCAATTCGGTGACGTTAATATGGCGCGAAAGAGATTTTCGTGTTGACAGCACTGCGTAATCTTTTGTAATTCCTCTACTGTAGCTCACTGTTTGTTGATATCGCTTTCTTATGTTCATGAAAAAACAAGTTGATTTCGGAAATAGCCTGTAGGGAAAAGTTGGTATTCGGAAAATACGGTTAAACACAAAAAGGATGCGCGTCTCCCCGGCGGGGAATCAAACCCCGGTCTCCCGCGTGATAGGCGGGGATACTCACCACTATACTACCGAGGATGTCGCTATGTATATAGTGTAAATACTATTTTGTTAATAGGTGGTTTTATGGATACGTGTTTAGTCCTTTCTGTTGCCAAGACTTACCTGACTAAAGAGGGTGCCCTCTGTAGGAACTAAATTAATTTATGTTTTTTTTTAGCCTGCGCTCTGATTTCCTTAATTCTGTCTCAGTCCAAGTTTGTTGTCTGGAATCGGATAATTCCTTCATTATACAGTAAATGGTTTGAACCCGGAAGTAACATGTAATAGTGTAGTTTGATCGTCCGGGTGAGTGTAGTCCTGAGAAGGGCTGTTGTCGGTAGTGGTGACTGACGTTTCGACAACATGAGTGGAAGTCATCATCAGAGTCAAGTGAAAGGTTTTTGTCAGTCGAATGTACTTAGTCCGGTTTTTGTACACTGATTGGTCAGTTTTGCCGTGATGTTATTGGCTGTAAGACACAAGTGGCGTAGGTCAGTCGTGATTGGTCGGTTTGGATCCGTTAGTGAAGTTAGGTCGTTCTGTTCGGTTCGTTTGTAATGTTAATGTGGTGGATGAGTCGTTTGTATAGTGCCGGTAGTGGTTGACACCTGTTGAGGGGAGTCTGTTTCAAGTTAGTAAACCAGCTTTCCAGGGTCAGTCGTTGAAAGTAGTTGGTGCTGTAGGTTAGGCATTGCGCAGAGTCCCAGTCAATAGTGTGGTTTGTAAGTCGGTGATGTTCAGCAATATGATTGTTGGCATCGCCTTTCCTCGTCGCTCGTTTGTGTTCAGTCAGTCTAGTTGTAAGGTTTTTGCCAGTCTCACCGATGTAGGAGGCGTGGCAGTCGGAGCAATTGATCTTATATACTGCTCCTTGTCTGTTCCTCGGTTCGTCTCTGTCTTTGATGTTAGTCAGTAACTGACGAAGTGTGGTAATAGGTTTGTGAGCGACACGGATATTGAATGGTTGTAGAATGCGTGAGATGTTCTCAGATATGCCCTTTATGTATGGTACAGTAGCTGTGGTCGTATGAGTTACGTTGTCGTTAGCTTCGGTAGTAGTAGTAGGTCTGTGAGTGTTTTGCCCTCTTTATGTAGGAGGCAATTCACGCCTAAGATTGTATTGTTATTCGAAGTTCGCTTAAAGATGAGTAATGCTTACACTTTTAATGAGTATAACAAAAGAAGTGGCCATTTTGATTATTGCTTAGTAGTCTTTCCGCTGACCGGTGACGTAACAGATTTTGGCTCACAATTATGCTTGCACTCAAACCAGAGTAGAACAGAGCACACAGTGGTCAAACATCTGTGCATGGACAACGTAGCCTTGTCGTGTGCTTTGCGATGTCAAAACCATGTTATCCAAAAGAAATATAAGCAACCACGCAAGCCACTAAGTCTCGATGTTTCAAAAGCGTAGAACTTTTTTAGATAACTAAAGCTAAAAACAAAATATACAGGAACATAGATTATATTTGTTAATCTGCTGAGAGATATGATATGTTGCGACATAATAAGCCTTTATAAAAGAAGGACAAAAGGTGACTACACAAAGTATTCACTATGTTTCTGGCAGGGCTCGAACCTGCGACCTTCCGCGTGTTAAGCGGATGTGATAACCACTACACTACAGAAACCACCCTGATACCATTCGCCCTCACATGGCACACATTTTCTCTAGCCCCTGAAATGCATAGAATTAATTTCGACGTGTTTGATGTTAAAACAACAGTTGGCGTAAAAACTGGACCCCGCCGCTACATTTAACTTGTTGCCCTTTTTCCACAACGTTAGGATAGTAAAATCTGCTCATTGGGGTCTTTCCTGAAACATAAAAACGAAACAAAGTGCGGAGATACGCATTTAACAAGAAACTGCAACCCGGAATACAGCCTTTCTGATCCCCCCCTCCGCACCCCCCCCAAAAAAACCATATGATCCTCAAATATTCTCTAGAAAGGGTATTTTTATTATTATTCTACTGAAACAGGTAGATTGATACCTGTGTGCCATAACTTTGTTATGGATGGACTGGTGTTCCTTGACTTTCGATCAGAGTCGCATTTCTGATCATGTTTCAAGTCTGATTGAGCACTTGTTTAACTTGGGGGCGTATCCTCAGGCATAAGAGGAGTCAGGAACCCATTGCTTGGAGCCTTCAACTGCTCCATATTTTTGTCACGGCGTTTTCACAGACAAGTCTATTATCAGTTCGAATTTACTGCGAACTAGGACTCCCCACGAGAGCACATCGACCAATCAAGATTAGCGCCTGGTTAATTTCTAACTTTACTCGTTAATATATGGAAAGAAAAACAGCAGAGAGATGCAAGGCTTCTTGCGATAGTTCGAGTGCAGATTCACATGAACAAAGGTGTCCCAAGCTCACATCTCGATAAAAGCAAACGATTAATTCATGTAAGCGTAACATGTTGTGTGACTCGGTGTTAACTTACGGAGGAACAGTTGATAATTTGAACATGCTATAAGGAGTAGCATAGGGAACGAAATATGGTCGATTTACAACGATAAATATTTCGAAATATGAACATTTTAAACGTTAAATCAATAGAATTTACTCACATCTTTTGTGTCCGTTGTGGTTTCCGGCGTTCTCTGCCGTTTTAAGCTTGCTTTACCGACTTTTTTAAGAGTTTCTTTAAGAGCCTTAAAGAGTCTTTGTGAGTTTCTTTTAAGAGTTTAATTTCCTTAAAAAAAAGAATTAGCCATTGTTATCAAAAGCCACCAAACCAGGATGGAGTATGGTCGTATCATATATATGTTAACGCTTCTTGTTCCATTATTTCATTTTTCTATTTCTACAACCTGACCTGAACAATAGAATGACTACTGCCTCACCATATTCACGGAGGCAAATAAGTGGAAAGTGAAGATTTCTATAATGAATAAACAGGAGGGAAGAACAAACATCTGAAATGTGTTATATTCTTGGTTGAGGTAAAACTTAAGTATTTATATATAAGGACTCTCTTGCTTCAAAGTTTTTCTAAAAGTATGTTTCTGGCAGGGCTCGAACCTGCGACCTTCCGCGTGTGAGGCGGATGTGATAACCACTACACTACAGAAACCTGCTATTTATGTTATGTTAAACACTTGAATCTACTTTAACATGGCCTGTAGAGTATCGTTATCAGATTTAACACAACTAAATTCGGAAAAAAGCGAAAATAACCGCCCTTCGGAATTCTTTTAGATTCGCCTGCGTTTAAATCAAGGGATGTTATTAACAACCGAGAAACTGAAAAAGGGTGATAAAAATTAAAGCTAAGTTTTTCGTTTGTCTCGCGATGTAGTCACGTGTAATGTAGATCGTGACGTTTCGACTGCATACTGCTAGTCTTCTTCAGGCGACGATGATCAACAACTAATCACAGCGATGCTCTGCTATGAGTAGCTGTTATTCAACAGCTCTGATTGGTGCATTTCGATCCTTGCTGTTCACTCAGTGATTTGCTCTCTTAGCGGTCCGCTGTCGCACGGCTTTCCTGTTGTTGTTGTTGTTTTTGTCGTGGGCATCCACGCTTCTGGAATTTCTATTCCACTATCCCTGCTGATGTTGTTAGGGTGAAGTCTTATATGAATTGCCCATTTTACCCTGCGCGTGTAGTAATAAGGGTCACGATCAATAAACTTTACTTTGTTCCAGAGCGGCTTGTGTTCGGTGTTGCACGGGCGAATCGAATATCTCGATCGTGCTCCTTAATTCTGTCTTGCATAGGTCTTTCAGTCTCTGCGATGTACACCTTGCCGCATTTACAGGGAATCCTGTAAACTACGCCATCTTGTTTAGCCGGGTCGACAGCATCTTTTGGTCGTACTAACTGAGATCTTAGCGTAGTCTCTGACTTGAAAACGTACGCCTTGTTGTTGTAGGCAACGGCGAAGCTGTTAGGACAGACCTTTGACATAAGGCAAAACCGCAGTAGTAGTAACTCGTTGGCGGGTTCGGCACTCTTGTTTGGTTTTAGACTAGCAGTATGTAGTCGAAACGTCGCGATCTACATCACACGTGACTACGTCGAAAGACAAACGAAAAACACGATGAATAACCACAACCTTTTCTACGAAATGAATCAAGGTAATGTTCCAGGTTCGGTACTCTTAACAGAAAAAAAAAACAGAAGTAATGGGAGCTCTCCTTGAAAAAACAAAATTCAGTGGTACGTTAAGGGCTTGTGAGGAACCAGAAAAGGAAAACAAAATGAGATCTATCTTTTATGGTATTGCCGTCGTCCGAGGGAAGTTTGACTTACCGATCTGTTAATTTCGGGAAGATTCTCCAAAAGGAGGGACTATCGGGCCTGTCCGGGAGTCGAACCTGGGACCTCTCGCACCCAAAGCGAGAATCATGCCACTAGACCAACAGGCCGGAGATGTCAAAGGCGGTTTAGGAAGGGTATTTTATTCATTGCTGTTATATAAGCAGGTGGATTAATACCTGCGTCATGAAAAGACTAGAGTTACTGGTGTTTTGATCATGGTCGCACTTCGGAACATTGTTTAAGTCTAAATGACAACCTCAGCCGGTTTACAAGGAGTGTACATTAAAGGAAGTATTATCACAGCGAACGGCTTCTCAAAGTTTACCTAGCTCCTGGTAAGGTGGTTGCATTTGAAGGAGGAGCTGTGCGAGCGAAACTCAATGTCAGGCAGAAACCCGCAAATAAGTCACCACTGCTCCACCATCAATCTCACCAATGAAACAAGCTTCTTCAAACAAATGACAGTTAAGGTGTGTACATCCCGCACTAAAGGAAAAATAATGAAGACGGATAGGAAATGAAGCCCAGCCTTCGAATAATGAAAACTGGAGTATTCCAATCTACTTTCGTCTTTTTCGGCTTAATGGTAAAGGCGTGACTGCACTTGATTTCCAACACGTTAGCATCTGAGTGCCACAGCTAGTAACTCTGTAACAGCTAACAGAACGGTAAATATTTATTACCGAGAAATGTGCCATATAAAACATGCAACAAGAAAACAAAAGGGTTGGCTGAGGCGTAAAATACCGTCCCCGGGTGGGCTTGAACCACCAACCTTTCGGTTAACAGCCGAACGCGCTAACCGATTGCGCCACGGAGACGACTAAACATGTGTTACCATTAAGGAGTAGATTGTGCTTGCTAGATCTTAGATGTTTAGAGTCTTTAGAAAAATGACGAATGTATCAGTTTTATAATTATCACTTTTCGGTATTAATCGATAGCAAAGGAGGGAATTCGTTCATCATAAAAGTTTCATCTAGTCCCAGTTCCACCGCGGCTTTCGTGTAGTTCACTCTGGGATAGGTTGTTAGTATCAATAGGGGGTCAGAACATTTTCCACAGTTTCGTATTTTGTTTCGTAATTTGTTTAGGTGTATGATACCTTGAAGTTTACAGACGGTTGTAAACTACATTTCTCAATTTTTTCGCTGCCTTTGCCATAACTGAAGTAATGATCCTTGGACTGTGTTTTGGGTTTAAGAACTGTATGAAGCTCTCTATCATCCAACAACAACATGCACCAGTTGCCACTCACGTTTTGAAGGCAGCTTTTAGCAAGTATGTCCTAACAGAATTAAGGCATTTTTATATCATTGCCTTATGTCAGCCTCGCATTCTTCGGTTCTTAGCTGTTTCGCCGGCTCCATCTCAAAAATTAACCCTTCTACAATACCAACTCCAAAAGAGGCGCCGTAGCTCAGGTGGTTAGAGCGCCTGTCTAGTAAACAGGAGGTCGTGAGTTCAAATCCCACCGGTGCCTTTCGCTTTTCTTTTTTGTCATAATTTTATCTAATATACTTTCATAAATTGTCCCGTTTCCTGTGTCAAAAAACAGTGGTAACAAGAGTTGTTCGAAAATAATGAAGACCGAAATAAAGCTCACTGCGTCAGAAAAAAAACAGAAAATCACAAACGTTCAACATGGAGTTAAAAAAAAACAACAACTGCCTGAATCTTCTCAAACACAAGTCAACAGAAAACTAGTGGCAAGTAGCCGAGCTTAAACAAGGGAAACTCAATTCCTCAAGGGTACTCAGAACTTTTCCTTTGTCCAAAAGCTCAAAAAAAAACATATTTCTCCATCTCACCACCAAACTTAGTATTTACTATCTTTCTTATTCTATTTACACGCAGGACCCTTTGGACATTGTTAATCTTAGCAGTATTGTTACGGGAAAATTTACTGATTTTCTCGTGTGTGTTATTCGGAACATATATATTCGTAAACTTTCACATTTAACCATTTCAAGTCCTTTCATTTCAATAAATCAAAAAATGCATAAAGACCACAGTAGCTTTTGAATAGATTTTTGTTGTTACTCGCTTTCATCATATGTACCTGCTTGTCGGCACTTTTGTTTTTTATTTCATGGTTTTTTTAAGGTAAATATAAGTGTTAATGGTCTTTCTGGAAACATTGGTTTTCATGGTAGATAGCAGCTGAGTTTGTACTCGTAAATTTAATTTCTTTCCATGCAATGGTTTCCAAACCAATCTTGTATAAATAAGCAGAAACTTTTAATTGCTTTTCCGTTTTTTATTTCCTGAGCTGCGCTACTGCAATTAAGATAGGTATTGTTTTCTATATCAGAGCTGTAAAACTGCACCTAGGTTTCCTACTTTAATGGCCTAGAGTTTATTGCATCCGTCTTTTTAATTTTGAGATTCTTTCCGTCGTAGAAACAGATGGAATAATTAAGTAGTTTTCGTTTAACTTCAAAGAGACTTTTTCCGCTCCTTTGTGTCCTTATTCAAATATTGCGATTTGTGTAACAATAGCACTTCGCACCAGTTACTTCTTAAGCAAGTACCTTGTACAGCTTTGATGATTACAAACTAGAGTATGCTAGAGGTCATGTCGCTTGTTGGCCTGACCTAGAATAAAAGTACTGTGGAACCAAAGATTGTCTTATCCTTGACGTCCGTATAAGCTCGCTCGAAGTAGATCTCCGTGTACCAGGAAATCGTGACGAGTTTCCGTTCTCGCTGCCAAGTCGTCTCTACAGAGTTATTTCCCCCAGTTGCTATTGTTCCGTCCGCGAAGATTCAGTCCTCCAGTTTTGGGCGAGAAAACTTATCGTCACAGTATGCAGGACACATGTCACATGTGGATCAAGCGATGACCCAGTGCAGCATTGTGTCCTTGTGGCTCAGGGCTAGAGAATCGGAGGGCGGAATCCGAAGATCTAAGATTTAGCTTCTCGTGAGGACTCAGAACTTTTCCGTTTTCCTAAGCTTGAGACAAGACAAAAAACAAAACATCTTTCTCTGAGGGAAACTTAATAGGACGAAGAACAATTTTTTTATTACATAAACAGCTTTAAACTCTCTCTCTACCAGTTCAAAAAGGATCCAATCGATTGCAGAACCTGGATCCAATTTACTCCATGGCATGGCCCGAACCCGCGACCTTCCGCGTATCAGGCTGACGTGTAACCTCTTTACTTCGGAAGCCAAACGCACATATTCCTTTTAAATTTTCGAAGCTATTTCAATATGGCCCGTTCAGTATCGTTATCAGATTTAACCGTAACTCAATTCGAAAAGCCCATTAGAAGCCAGATTTAATGAAATCTTATCATAGATATCAAGTCGGTGACGTTAATATGGCGCAAAAGAGATTTTCGTGTTGACAGCACTGCGTAAGCTTTTGTAGTTCCTCTAATGTAGCTCACTGTTTGTTATCGCTTCCTTATGTTCATGAAAGAACGAGTTGATTTCGGAATTAAAGAAAACTAATTTCAAAACTTTCAGCCTGCAGGGAAAAGTTGATATTTGGAAAATATGGTTAAGCACAAAAGCGTTACGCGTCTCCCCGGCGGGGAATCGAACCCCGGTATCCCGCGTGACAGGGGGGGATACTCACCACTATACTACCGAGGATGTCACACTAAATGTGGTGTAAATACTATTCTTTTCATAAGTGGATTTATTAATATTTGATACGTTTTTAGTCCTTTCTGTTGCCAAGACTAACCTGACTAAAGAGGGTGCCCTCTGTAGGAATCAAATCATTTTAAGTGTTTTTATAGCGAACGCACTGATTTCCTTAATTCTGTCTCAGTCCAAGTTTGTTGTCTGGAATCGGATAATTCCCTCATTATTACATACACCAAACACGCAGCAGATCACAGCTTTATCTCTTAAGTTTTGTCCTCATTATGTAGGAGGCAATTCACGCCTAAGATTGTATTGTTATTCGAAGTTCGCTTAAAGATGAGTAATGCTTACACTTATAATGAGTATAACAAAAGACGTGGCCATTTTGATTATTACTTAGTAGTCTGTCCGCTGGCCGGTGACGTAACAGATTCTGGCTCATAATTATGCTTGCACTCAAACCAGAGTAGAACAGAGCACACAGCAGTCAAACATATGTGCATGGACAACGTACCCTTGTCGTGTGCTTTTGGGCTGTCACAACCATGTTGTCCAACAGGAAATATAAGCAACCACGCAAGCCACTAAGTCTCGATGTTTCAAAAACGTAGAAATTTTTAAGATAACTAAAGCTAAAAACAAAATATACGATAACATAGATTATATATATTGGTAAATCTGCTAAGAGATATCCTACGTTAAAACAAAGCGTAAGAAAAAATGAGCCACGCGTTGCGACATAATAAGCCTTTATAAAAGAAGGACAAAAGGTGACTTTCTGTTTCTGGCAGGGCTCGAACCTGCGACCTTCCACGTGTTAGGCGGATGTGATAACCACTACACTACAGAAACTACCCTGCTAAGACTTGGCCTCACAGAGTACAGATGGTCTCTAGCCCCTGAAATGCATCGACATGTTTGATGTTAAAACAACAGTTGGCGTAAAAACTGGACCCCGCCGCTGCATTTTAACTTGTTGTCCTTTTCCCACAACGTTAGGATAGTAAAATCTGCTCATTGGGGTCATTCCTGAAACACATAAACGAAACGAGGTGCGGAGATATACATTTCACCAGAAACCACAACCCGGAATACAGCCTTTCTGATCCCCCCTCCGCCCTCCCTAAAAACCATATGATCCTCAAATATTCTCTGCCCCTTTCCCCCCCCCCCCCCCCTCCCAATAGACAATAACTGATCCTTGAGCTCACCGAAAAATAAAGTAAGATGCATGGAAATTGATTTTTATTTACAAAAGACATTTCACCTCCCGTGTTCAGCCATTTCCTGTCTTTCAGAAGCATAAGGCGAGTCTTCGATAGGAAATATTTTCATAACTAAAATACACGAAAACTTTCATTGAAAAAAGAAAAAACGCGAGGTTTAGGGCTTTTGATGAACAAGGAAACGAATACATATGAATTACACATGTATGGTAATACAACTTCCATACAGTTTCACTTCCAAATGGTTTTGACCAAAAGAGCCCACAACCGGGCCTGTCCGGGAGTCGAACCCGGGACCTCTCGCACCCTAGCGAGAATCATGCCACTAGACCAACAGGCCGGTCAGTGAAGAAACGATATTTTTATTATTGATCTACTAAAAACGGGTGGATTGATACCTGTGTGCCATAACTTTGTCATGGATGGACTGGCGTTCCTGGACATTCGATCAGCGTCGCATTTCGGATCATTTTTCAAGTTTAATTAAGCACTTGTTTAACTTGGGGGCGTATCCTCAGGCATAAGAGGAGTCAGGAGCCCATTACTTGGAGCCTTCAACTGCTCTATATTTTTGTCATGGCATTTTCACAGACAAGTCTATTTTTAGTTTGAATTTACCGCGAACTAGGACTCCCCACGAGAGCACATCGACCAATCAAGATTAGCACCTGGTTAATTTCTAACTTTCTCGTTAATATATCGAAAGAAAAATAGCAGAGAGATGCAAGGCTTCTTGCGATAGTTCGAGTGCAGATTCACATGAACAAAGGCGTTTCAAGCTCACATCTCGATAAAAAGCAAACGACTGATTCATGTAAGCGTTACATGTTGTGTGACTCGGTGTTAACTTACGGAGAAACCGTTGATAATTTGAACATGCTATAAGGAGTAGCATGGGGAACGAAATATGGTCGATTTACAATGATAAATATTTTGAAATATGAACATTTTACACGTTAAATCAATAGAATTTACTCACATCTTTTGTATCCGTTATGGTTTCCGGCGTTCTCTGCCGTTTTAAGCTTGCTTTACCGACTTTTTTAAGAGTTTCTTTAAGAGCCTTAAAGAGTCTTTGTGAGTTTCTTTTGAAAGTTTAATTTCTTTAAAAAAAAGAATTAGCCATTGTTCTCAAAAGCCACCAAACCATGATGGAGTATGGTCGTATCATATATATGTTAACGCTTCTTGTTCCATCATTTCATTTTTCTGTCTCTACAACCTAACCTGAACAGTAGTATGACTACTGCCTCACCATATTTATGGAGGCAAATTTGTGGAAAGTGAAGATTTCCATAATGAATAAACAGGAGGGAAGAACAAACATCTGAAATGTGTTACTTTTTTTTGTCGAGGTAAAACTAAAGCATTTATTCTCTTACTTTAAAGTTTTTCTAAAAGTATGTTTCTGGCAGGGCTCGAACCTGCGGGGCCCTTCCGCGTGTGAGGCGGACGTGATAACCACTACATTACAGAAACCTGTTACATATGATATGTTAAACACTTGAGTCTAATTTAATATGGCCTGTAGAGTATCGTTATCAGAGTTAATGCAACTAAATTCGGAAAAAAGCAAAAATAACCACCCTTCGAAATTCTTTTAGATTTGCCTGCGTTTAAATCAAGGGATATTATTAACAACCGAGAAACTGACTTAAGGTAATAAAAATAAAAGATAACTTTGTCGTTTGTCTCACGATGTAGTCACGTGTGATGTAGATCGCTACGTTTCGACTGCATATTGCTAGTCTTCTTTGGGCGATGAGGTCGAATGGTCATGCGTCATCTCATAAAGCATGATGCTCTACTGTGATTAGTTGTTATTCAACAGCTCTGATTGGTGCATTTCGATCTTTGCTGTTCACTCAGTGATTTGCTCCCTCGGCGGTCCGCTGTCGCACGGCTCTCCTGTTGTTGTGGTTTTTTTTTTTTATCGTGGGTTTCCACGCTTCTGAAATTTCTATTCCACTATCCACTATGTTGTTAGGGTGAAGTCTAATATGAATTGCCTCTTTGACCTTGCGCGTGTAGTAATATGGGTCACGATCAATAAACTTTACTTCGTTCCAGAGTGGCTTGTGTCCGGTGTTGTGGGCATGCTCTCAAACGGTGGAGGTCTCGGTACGGGCGAGTCGAATGTCTCGATCGTGCTCCTAAATTCTGTCTGCATTGGTCTTCCAGTCTTTCCGATGTACACCTTGCCGAATTCACAGGGAATCCTGTAAACTACGCCATCTTGTTTAGCCGGGTGGCCAGCGTCTTTTGGTCGTACCAACTGAGATCCTAGGGTAGTCTCCAACTTGAAAACAGCGCGTACGACTTGTTGTCTTAGGCAACGGCGAGGCTGTTCGGACAGATCTTTGACATAAGGTAAAACCGCAGTAGCTTTGAACTCGTTGGCGGGTTTGGCACTGTTGTTTGGTTTTGCCTGAAGAAGACTAGCAGTATGCAGTCGAAATGTCGCGATCTACATCACACGTGACTACATCGTGAGACAAACGAAAAACTTATCTTTTATTGTTACTCACCACGATGAATAGCCACAACCTTTTCTACGAAATGAATTAAGGTAATGTTCCAAGTTCGGAACTCTTAACAGAAAAAAAGCGGAAGTAATGAGAGCTCTCCTTGAAAAAACAAAATTCAATGGTACGTTAAGGGCTTGTGAGGAACCAGAAACGGAAAACAAAATGAGATCTATCTTTTACGGTATTGCCGTCGTCATAAAGTTATCCAAGGGAAGTTTGACTTGCCGGTCTGATAATTTCGGGAAAGTTCTCCAAAAGGAGGGACTATCGGGCCTGTCCGGGAGTCGAACCCGGGACCTCTCGCACCCAAAGCGAGAATCATACCACTAGACCAACAGGCCGGAGATGTGGTTTTAGGAAGGGTATTTTACTCATTGCTTATTATTATTATTATAATTATTATTATTATTATCATTATTATTATTATCACGGTGGATTAACACCTGCGTCATGAATAGACTAGTGTTACTGGTGTTTTGATCATGGTCGCACTTCGGAACATTGTTCAAGTCTAAATGACAACCTTAGCCGGTTTACAAGGAGTGTACATTAAGACTGCAAAACAAGTTCTTTATCGGACGAAAGAATCAACAAATCCAAAGACGATCAGTGGAATGCATTAACTGTCACTCAAGACTTGTGAGAGCCTTATCCTTCAGAGGAGTCAGAGCTCGAAGAGAGCCTCGCACAGAAGGCTCTAAAGAAAGTACCAGAACTCTAAAAACATGACCAAATTCTAAGATCTAAGGTCGGCCATCTGAGATTGTCACGAAGCATTACCACAGCGAACGGCTTCTCAAAGTTTACCTAGCCCCTGGTAAGGTAATTGCATTTGAAAGAGGAGCTGTGCGAGCCAACCTCAACGTCAGGCAGAAACCCGCAAATAAGTCACCACTGCTCCACGATCAATCTCACCAATGAAACAAGCTTCTCCAAGTGATAGTTAGGGTGCGTACATCCCACACTGTACTGAAGGAAAGGTAATGATCATTACGACAGACAGGAAATGAAGCCCACCCTTCAAATTATGCAAACTGGGGTATTCCAGTCTACTTTTGTCTTTTTCAGCTTAATGGTAAAGGCGTGACTGCACTTGATTTCGAACACGTGAGCATGTTAGCACCACAGCCAGTAACTCTGTAACAGTATTTTTTACCGAGAAATGAACCATATAAAACATGCAACAAGGAAACAAAAGGATGTGAAGTGCAGGTGTAAAATACCGTCCCGAACGCGCTAACCGATTGCGCCACGGAGACAACTGAATATGTATTGCCGTTGAGGAGTAGATTGTGTTTGCTAAATCTTAGATGTTTAGAGTCTTTAGAAAAATGACGAATCTATCAATTTTATACTTATCAATTTTCGGTATCAATCGATAGCAAGAGAAGGGAATTCCTTCATATAATATTGGGTATATTGTGTTTATACTATTGCTAAATCTTAAATGTTTAGAGTCTTAAAAAAAAAGATAAATGTATCAATTCTATATTTATCAATTCCTGGAATAAAATCGATAGCAAGAGAAGGGAAGTCGTTCATCATAAAAGTTTCATCTAATCCCAGTTCCACCGCGGCTTTCGTGTAGATCACTATGGGATAGGTTGTTAGTATTAATAGGGGGTCAGAACATTTCCACAGTTTCGTATTTTGTACACTAAGTCAGGCATTTGTTTAGGTGTATGATACCCTGAAGTTTACAGACGGTTGTAAACTACATTCCTCAATTTTTTCGCTGCCGTTGCCATAAAGTAATGATCCCTGGACTATGATTTGGGTTTAAGAACTGTTTGAAGCTCTCTATCATCCAACAACGACAAGCACCAGTTGCCACTCACGTTTTGAAGGCAGCTTTAGCAAGCATGTCCTAACAGAATTAAGACATTTTTATATCATTGCCTTGCTATATCAGCCTCGCATTCCTCGGTTTTTTTTGTCAAACGCACAAAAAACTTCTTAACCGTTTGGCCTGCTCCATCTCCAAGCGAGGCGCCGTAGCTCAGGTGGTTAGAGCGCCTGTTTAGTAAACAGGAGGTCATGGGTTCAAATCCCATCGGTGCCTTTTGCTCTTCTTTTCTTTCATAATTTTATCCAATATACTTTCATCAATTGTCCCATTTCCTGTGTCAAAAAACACTGATAGCAAGAGTGGTTTGAAAATAATAAAGACCGAAATAAAGCTCACTGCGTCAGTTCAACATGGAGTTATAAAAAACAACAACAGCCTGAATCTTCTCAAACACAAGTCAACAGAAAACTGGTGGCAAATAGCCGAGCTTAAACAAGGGAAACATAATTCCTCAAGGGTACTCAGAACTTTTCCTTTGTCCAAAAGCTCATGACCACAACAAAAAAAAACATCTTTCCCCCTCTCACTACCAAACTTAGTATTTATTATCTTTCTTATTCTATTTACACGCAGGACCCTTTTGACATTGTTAATCTTAGCAGTACGCTGGACATATGTCACATGTGGACCTAGCGATGACCCAGGGCAGCGTTGTGTTTTTGTGGCTCTGGGGTAGAAAATCGGAGGGCGGAATCCGAAGATCTAAGGTTTAGCTTCTCATTAGGACTCAGAACTTTTCCGATTTCCTAAGCTTATGACAAGACAAAAGAAAAACATCTTTCACTGAGGGAAACATAATAGGACGAAGAACAATTTTTTTATTACATAAACAGCTTTAAACTCTCTCTCTACCAGCTCAAAAAGGATCCGATCGATAGCAGAACCTGGATCAAATTTACTCCAATCTTTATTGCTGCAAGGGGGAAATAAAGTTTATCCTCAGAGGATCGCTAGTGATACCATAGTGAAATGCTACACCCGTCCGCTTATGATCTGAAGTAAGTACATCAAGAGAGGATAACCTCTCTTGGCTACATTTTTTTTATGAATTGAAGCATATATTAAGACTCTATTGCTTTAAAAAAAATTCTTTTTCGGGAAAAAATTGTTTCTGGCATGGCTCGAGCCTGCAACCTTCCATGTATCAGGCTGACGTGCAACCTCTTTCCTTTGGCAGCCAAACGCACATATTCCATTTAAGTTTTCGAAGCTATTTCAATATGGCCTGTTCAGTATCGTTATCAGATTTAACCATAACTCAATTCGAAAAAGCCCAGTAGGAGCCAGATTTAATGATCTCCTATCATAGATATCAATTCGGTGACGTTAACATGGCGCGAAAGAGATTCTCGTGTTGACAGCACTGCGTAATCTTTTGTAATTCCTCTACTGTAGCTCACTGTTTGTTGATATCGCTTTCTTATGTTCATGAAAAAACAAGTTGATTTCGGAATGAACCTGTAGGGAAAAGTTTGTATTCGGAAAATACGGTTAAACAAAAAGGATATGCGTCTCCACAGCGGGGTATCGAACCCCGGTCTCCCGCGTGACAGGCGGGGATACTCACCACTATACTACCGAGGATGTCGCTTTTGTTAATAAGTGGTTTTATTAAGATTTGATACGTGCTTAGTCCTTTCTGTTGCCAAGGCTTACCTGACTAAAGAGGGTGCCCTCTGTAGGAACTAAATTAATTTATATTTTATTTTAGGCTGCGCTCTGATTTCCTTAATTCTGTCTCAGTCCAACTTTGTTTTCTGGAATCGGATAATTCCTTCATTATACAGTAAATGGTTTGAACCCGGGGGTAACATGTAATAGTGTATGAAATTAAGAGATCTTCGCAGCTAAGAACACTTCTGAAACGAGTAGTTGTAAATAGGACCTGAAAAAAATTCAGGCCCGTACGGGATTTGAACCCATGACCTCCGCGATACCGGTGCAGCGCTCTACCAATTTTTCAGGTCCTATTTACAACTACTCGTTTCAGTAGTGTTCTTAGCTGCGAGGATCTCTTAATTTCATCTCTCCACCGCAGTGCAAATATATGAATTTTCATATATCTAAAATCTTCATGTAATAGTGTAGTTTGATCGTCCGGGTGAGTGTAGTCCTGAGAAGGACTGTTGTCGGTAGTGGTGACTGACGTTTCGGCAACCTGAGCGGAAGTCATCGTCAGAGTCAAGTGAAAGGTTGTCGTCAGTCAAATGTACTTAGTCCAGTTTGTGTACACTGATTGGTCAGTTTTGCCTTGATGTTATCGGCTGTAAGACTCAAGTGGCGTAGGTCAGTCGTGATTGGTCGGTTTGGATCCGTTAGTGAAGTTAGGTCGTTCTGTTCGGTTCGTTTGTAATGTTAATGTGGTGGATGAGTCGTTTGTATGGTGCCGGTAGTGGTTGACACCTGTTGAGGGGAGTCTGTTCCAAGTTAGTAAACCAGCTTTCCAGGGTCAGTCGTTGAAAGTAGTTGCTGCTGTTGGTTAGGCATTGCGCAGAGTCCCAGTCAATAGTGTGGTTCGTAAGTCGGTGATGTTCAGCAATGTGATTGTTGACATCGCCTTTCCTCGTCGCTCGTTTGTGTTCAGTCAGTCTAGTTGTAAGGTTTCTGCCAGTCTCACCAATGTAGGAGGCGTGGCAGTTGGAGCAATTGATCTTATATACTGCTCCTTGTCTGTTCCTCGGTTCGTCTCTGTCTTTAATGTTAGTCAGTAACTGACGTAGTGTGGTAATAGGTTTGTGAGCGACGCGGATATTGAATGGTTGTAGGATGCATGAGATGTTCTCAGATATGCCCTTTATGTATGGTACAGTGGCTGTGGTCGTATGAGTTGCGTTGTCGTTAGCTTCGGTAGTAGGTCTGTGTTTTGCCCTCTTTATGTAGGAGGCAATTCACACCTAAGAGTGTATTGTTATTCGAAGTTCGCTTAAAGATGAGTAATGCTTACACTTATAATGAGTATAACAAAAGATGTGGCCATTTTGATTATTGCTTAGTAGTCTGTCCGCTGACCGGTGACTTAACAGATTTTGGCTCACAATTATGCTTGCACTCAAACCAGAGTAGAACAAAGCACACAGCGGTCAAACTTCTGTGCATGGACAACGTACCCTTATTGTCGTGTGATTTGCGATGTCACAACCATGTTGTCCAAAAGAAATATAAGCAACTACGCAAGCCACTAAGTCTCGATGTTTCAAAAGCGTAGAACCTTTTTAAGATAACTAAAGCTAAAAACAAAATATACGATAACATAGATTATATTTGTTAATCTGCTGAGAGATATCCTATGTTGCGACATAATAAGCCTTTATAAAAGAAAGAAAAAAAGTATTCACTATGTTTCTGGCAGGGCTCGAACCTGCGACCTTCCGCGATGTGATAACCATTACACTACAGAAACCACCCTGATACCATTCGCCCTCACATGGCACACGATTTCTCTAGCCCCTGAAATGCATAGACTTAATTTCGACATGTTTGATGTTAAAACAACAGTTGGCGTAAAACCTGGACCCCTACGCTACATTTAACTTGTTGCCCTTTTCCCACAACGTTAGGATGGATGAATGTCATGGATGGACTGGTGTTCCTGGACTTTCGATCAGTTGCATTTCTGATCATCTTTCAAGTCTGATTGAGCACTTGTTTAACTTGGGGGCGTATCCTCAGGCATAAGAGGAGTCAGGAGCCCATTACTTGGAGCCTTCAACTGCTCTATATTTTTGTCATGGCATTTTCACAGACAAGTCCATTTTTAGTTTGAATTTACCGCGAACTAGGACTCTCCACGAGAGCACATCGACCAATCAAGATTACGCCCGGTTAATTTCTAACTTTCTCGTTAATATATGGAAAGAAAAACAGCAGAGAGATGCAAGGCCTCTTGCAATAGTTCGAGTGCAGATTCACATGAACAAAGGCGTTTCAAGCTCACATCTCGATAAAAAGCAAACGACTGATTCATGTAAGTGTTACATGTTGTGACTCGGTGTTAACTTACGGAGAAACCGTTGATAATTTCAACATGCTATAAGGAGTAGCATAGGGAACGAAATATGGTCGATTTACAACGATAAATATTTCGAAATATGAACATTTTAAACGTTAAATCAATAGAATTTACTCACATCTTTTGTGTCCGTTGTGGTTTCCGGCTTTCTCTGCCGTTTTAAGCTTGCTTTACCGACTTTTTTAAGAGTTTCTTTAAGAGCCTTAAAGAGTCTTTGTGAGTTCCTTTTAAGAGTTTAATTTCTTTAAAAAAAAAAGAATTAGCCATTGTTATCAAAAGCCACCAAACCATGATGGAGTATGGTCGTATCATATATATGTTAACGCTTCCTGTTCCATCATTTCATTTTTCTATTTCTACAACCTGACCTGAACAATAGTATGACTACTTCCTCACCATATTCATGGAGGCAAATTTGTGGAAAGTGAAGATTTCCATAATGAATAAACAGGAGGGAAGAACAAACATCTGAAATGTGTTACATTTTTTGTCGAGGTAAAACTAAAGCATTTATTCTCTTGCTTTAAAGTTTCTCTAAGAGTATGTTTCTGGCAGGGCTCGAACCTGCGACCTTCCGCGCGTAAGGCGGACGTGACAACCACTACACTACAGAAACATGATGTATATAAATGTATATAATATATATATATATATATATATATATATATATATATATATATATATATATATATATATATATATATATATATATATATATATATATATATATATATATATATATATATACACATATATATATATATATATATAATCTAATTTAATCTAATTTAATATGGCCTGTAGAGTATCGTTATCAGAGTTAATGCAACTAAATTCGGCAAAGAGCAAAAATAACCGCCCTTCGGAATTCTTTTAGATTTGCCTGTGTTTAAATCAAGGGATATTATTAACAACCGAGAAACTGACTTAAGGTAATAAAAATAAAAGATAACTTTGTCGTTTGTCTCACGATGTAGTCACGAGTGATGTAGATCGCCACGTTTCGACTGCATACTGCTAGTCTTCTTTAGGCGATGAGGTCGACTGGTCATGCGTCATCTCATAAAGCATGATGCTCTACTGTGATTAGTTGTTATTCAACAGAATAAAGGTATAAGTTTCTAAAGAAACTGTGGTGCTGCGTCGGTGGGAGAGTATAGCAGGTAATTTAGTGTTAACAACTGGGTTGAAGACTTAAATTAGCAACCGTAAAGGGTGAAAAAGCTGACGTTTCGAGCGTTAGCCCTTCGTCAATCGCTCTGACGAAGGGCTAACGCTCGAAACGTCAGCTTTTTTACCCTTTACGGTGGCTAATTTACGTTTTCAACCCAGTTGTTAACACTAAATTACCTTTCATTCAACAACTCTGATTGGTGTATTTCGATCCTTGCTGTTCACTCAATGATTTGCTCCCTCGGCGGTCCGCTGTCGCACGGCTCTCCTGTTGTTGTGTTTTTTTTTATCGTGGGTTTCTTCGCTTCTAAAATTTCTATTCCACTATCCACTATGTTGTTAGGGTTAAGTCTTATATGAATTGCCTCTTTGACCCTGCGCGTGTAGTAATATGGGTCACAATCAATAAACTTTGCTTCGTTCCAGAGTGGCTTGTGTCCGGTGTTGTGGGCATGCTCTCAAACGGCGGAGGTCTCGGTACGGGCGAGTCGAATGTCTCGATCGTGCTCCTAAATTCTGTCTGCATAGGTCTTCCAGTCTTTCCGATGTACACCTTGCCGCATTCACAGGGAATCTTGTAAACTACGCCATCTTGTTTAGCCGGGTGGCCAGCGTCTTTTGGTCGTACCAACTGAGATCTTAGCGTAGTCTCCGACTTGAAAATAGCGCGTACGCCTTGTTGTCTTAGGCAACGTCGAAGCTGTTCGGACAGACCTTTGACATAAGGTAAAACCGCAGTAGCTTTGAACTCTTTGGCGGGTTCGGCACTGTTGTTTGGTTTTGCCTGAAGAAGATTAGCAGTATGCAGTCGAAATGTCGCGATCTACATCACACGTGACTACGTCATGAGACAAACGAAAAACACGATGAATAACCACAACCTTTTCTGCGAAATGAATTCCGGTAATGTTCCAAGTTCGGTACTCTCAACAGAAAAAAAAAAAAAAAGGTGTAATGGGAGCTCTCCTTGAAAAAACAAAATTCAATGGTTAAGGGCTTGTGAGGAACCAGAAATGGAAAACAAAATGAGATCTATAATTTAAGGTATTGCCGTTGTCATAAAGTTATCCTCGGGAAGTTTGACTTACCGGTTAATATTTTTTACCGAGAAATGGGCCATATAAAACATGCAACAAGAAAACAAAAGGGTTGGCTGAGGTGTAAAATATCGTCCCCGGGTGGGCTTGAACCACCAACCTTTCGGTTAACAGCCGAATGCGCTAACCGATTGCGCCACGGAGACCACCGAATATGTGTTACCATTAAGGAGTAGATTGTGCTTGCTAGATCTTAGATGTTTAGAGTCTTTAGAAAAATGACGAATGTATCAGTTTTATAATTATCACTTTTCGGTATTAATCGATAGTAAAGGAGGGAAGTCGTTCATCATAAAAGTTTCATCTAATCCCAGTTCCATCGCTGCTTTCGTGTAGTTCACTCTGGGATAGGTTGTTAGTATCAATAGGGGGTCAGAACATTTTCCGCAGTTTCGTATTTTGTTTCGTAATCTGTTTAGGTGTATGATACCTTGAAGTTTACAGACGGTTGTAAACTACATTCCTCAATTTTTTCGCTGCCTTTGCCATAACTGAAGTATTGATCCTTGGACTGTGTTTTGGGTTTAAGAACTGTATGAAGCTCTCTATCATCCAACAACGACAAGCACCAGTTACCACTCACGTTTTGAAGGCAGCTTTTACCAAGTATGTCCTAACAGAATTAAGGCATTTTTATATCATTGCCTTGCTATATCAGCCCCGCATTCCTCGGTTTTTTGTCAAACGCACAGAAAACTTCTAAGCTGTTTGGCCGGCTCCATCTCAAAAATTAACCCTTCTACAACACCATCTCCAAGAGAGGCGCCGTAGCTCAGGTGGTTAGAGCGCCTGTCTAGTAAACAGGAGGTCATGGGTTCAAATCCCACCGGTGCCTTTCGTTTTTCTTTTCTTTCATAATTTTATCCAATATACTTTCATAAATTGTCCCATTTCCTGTGTCAAAAAACACTAGTAACAAGAGTGGTTCGAAAATAATGAAGACCGAAATGAAGCTCACTGCGTCAGAAAAAAACAGAAAATCACAAACATTCAACATCGAGTTAAAAATAACAACAACTGCCTGAATCTTCTCAAACACAAGTCAACAGAAAACTGGTGGCAAATAGCCGAGCTTAAACAAGGGAAACTCAATTCCTCAAGGGTACTCAGAACTTTTTCTTTGTCCAAAAGCTCATGACGAGACCAAAAAAACATCTTTCTCCATCTCACTACCAAACTTAGTATTTACTATCTTTCTTATTCTATTAGCATGCAGGACCCTTTGGACATTGTTAATCCTAGCAGTATGCAGGACACATGTCACATGTGGACCTAGCGATGACCCAGTGCAGCGTTGTGTCCTTGTGGCTGAGGGGTAGAGAATTGGAGGGCGGAATACGAAGATTTAAGGTTTAGCTTCTCATGAGGACTCAGAACTTTTCCGTTTTCCTAAGCTTATGACAAGACAAAAAAAACATCTTTCTCTGAGGGAAACTCAATAGGACGAAGAACAATTTTTTAATACATAAACAGCTTTAAACTCTCTCTCTACCAGCTCAAAAAGGATCCGATCAATAGCAGAACCTGGATCAAATTTACTTCAATCTTTATTGCTGTAAGGGGAGATAAAGTTTATCCTCAATGGATCGCTGGTGATACCATAGTGAAATGTTACACCCGTCCTGGGAAAAGTTGATATTCGGAAATATGGTTAAACACAAAAAGGATCTGCGTCTCCCCGGCGGGGAATCCAACCCCAGTCTCCTACGTGACAGGCGGGGATACTCACCGCTATACTACCGAGGATGTCGCACCGCATATGGTGTATATACTATTTTGTTAATAAGTGGATTTATTAAAATTTGATACGTCTTTAGTCCTTTCTGTTACCAAGACTTACCTGATGAAAAAGGGTGCCCTGTGTAGGAATTAAATCAATTTAAGTTTATTTTTTAGCCTGCGCACTGATGTCCTTAATTCTGTCTCAGTCCAAATTGGTTACAGGTTCATCTTTTAAGTTTTGCCCTCTTTATGTACGAGGCAATTCACGCCTAAGAGTGTATTGTGGTTCGAAGCTCGCTTAAAGATGAGTAATGCTTACACTTATAATGAGTATAACAAAAGACGGAACCATTTTGATTATTGCTTAGTAGTCTGTCCGCTGACCGGTGACGTAACAGATTTTGGTTCACAATTATGCTTGCACTTAAACCAGAGTAGAACAAAGCACACAGCGGTCAAACTTCTGTGCATGGACAACGTACCCTTTTCGTGTGCTTGGCGCTGTCACAACCATGTTGTTCAACAGGAAATATTAGCAACCACGCAAGCCACTAAGTCTCCATGTTTCAAAAGCGTACAACTTTTTAAGATAACTAAATCTAAAAACAAAATATACGATAACAGAGATTATATACATTGGTTAATCTGCTGAGAGATATCCTACGTTAAAACAAAGCGTAAGAAAAAATGAGCCACGCGTTGCGACATAATAAGCCTTTATAAAAGGAGGAAAAAAGGTGACTATGTATTCACTATGTTTCTGGCAGGGCTCGAACCTGCGACCTTCCGCGTGTTAGGCGGATGTGATAACCACTACACTACAGAAACTACCCTGCTAAGACTTGGCCTCACAGAGCACAGATTGTCTCTAGCCCCTGAAATGCATAGACTTAATTATAATTTCGACATGTTTGATGTTAAAACAACAGTTGGCGTAAAAACTGGACCCCGCCGCTGCATTTTAACTTGTTGTCCTTTTCCCACAACGTTAGGATAGTAAAATCTGCTCATTGGGGTCAGTCCTGAAACACATAAACGAAATGAAGTGCGGAGATACGCATTTAACCAGAAACCACAACCCAGAATACAGCCTTTCTAATTCCCCCTCCGCCCTCCCTAAAAACCATATGATCCTCAAATATTCTCTGCCCCTTTCCTCTCCCCTCCCCCTCCCAATAGACGATAACTGATCCTTGAGCTCACCGAAAAACAAGCAAGATGCATGGAAATTGATTTTGATTTGCAAAAGACATTTCACCTCCCTTGTTCAGCCATTTCCTGTCTTTCAGAAGCATAAGGCGAGTCTTCCATAAGAAATATTTTCATAACTAAAATACGCGAAAGCTTTCATTGAAAAAAGAAAAAACAAGAAGGTTTAGGGCTCTTGAAGAACAAGGAAACGAATACATATGAATTACACAACGTATGGTAATACAACTTCCATACATTTTTCAGGGGAAGTTTGACAACTTCCAAATGGTTTTGACCAAAAGAGCCCACAACCGGGCCTGTCCGGGAGTCGAACCCGGGACCTCTCGCACCCTAAGCGAGAATCATGCCACTAGACCAACAGGCCGATCAGTGAAGAAACGGTATTTTTATTATTGATCTACTAAAAACGGGTGGATTGATACCTGTGTGCCATAACTTTGTCATGGATGGACTGGCGTTCCTAGACTTTCGATCAGCGTCGCATTTCGGATCATTTTTCAAGTTTAATTGAGCACTTGTTTAACTTGGGGGCGTATCCTCAGGCATAAGAGGAGTCAGGAGCCCATTACTTGGAGCCTTCAACTGCTCTATATTTTTGTCATGGCATTTTCACAGACAAGTCTATTTTTAGTTTGAATTTACCGCGAACTAGGACTCCCCACGAGAGCACATCGACCAATCAAGATTAGCACCTGGTTAATTTCTAACTTTCTCGTTAACATATCGAAAGAAAAACAGCAGAGAGATGCAAGGCTTCTTGCGATAGTTCGAGTGCAGATTCACATGAACAAAGGCGTCCCAAGCTCACATCTCGATAAAAAGCAAACGACTGATTCATGTAAGTGTTATATGTTGTGTGACTCGGTGTTAACTTAAGGAGAAACCGTTGATAATTTCAACATGCTATAAGGAGTAGCATAGGGAACGAAATATGGTCGATTTACAACGATAAATATTTCGAAATATGAACATTTTACACGTTAAATCAATAGAATTTACTCACATCTTTTGTTTCCGTTGTGGTTTCCGGCTTTCTCTGCCGTTTTAAGCTTCCTTTACCGACTTTTTTAAGAGTTTCTTTAAGAGCCTTAAAGAGTCTTTGTGAGTTTCTTTTAAGAATTTAATTTCTTTAAAAAAAAGAATTAGCCATTGTTATCAAAAGCCACCAAACCAGGATGGAGTATGGTCGTATCATATACATATTAACGCTTCTTGTTCCATCATTTCATTTTTCTATTTTTACAACCTGAGCTGAACAATAGTATGACTACTGCCTCACCATATTCATGGAGGCAAATTTGTGGAAAGTGAAGATTTCCATAATGAATAAACAGGAGGGAAGAACAAACATCTGGAATGTGTTACATTTTTTGTCGAGGTAAAACTAGAGCATTTATTCTCTTGCTTCAAAGTTTCTCTAAAAGCATGTTTCTGGCAGGGCTCGAACCTGCGACCTTCCGCGTGTGAGGCGGACGCGATAACCACTACACTACAGAAACCTGTCACATATGATAGATGTGCCTGCGTTTAAATTAAGGGATATTATTAACAACCGAGAAACTGACTTAAGGTAATAAAAATAAAAGATAACTTTGTCGTTTGTCTCACGATGTAGTCACGTGTGATATAGATCGCCACGTTTGGACTGCATATTGCTAGTCTTCTTTAGGCGATGAGGTCGACTGGTCATGCGTCATCTCATAAAGCATGATGCTCTACTGTGATTGGTTGTTATTCAACAGCTCTGATTGGTGCATTTCGATCCTTGCTGTTCACTCAATGATTTGCTCCCTCTGCGGTCCGCTGTCGCACGGCTCTCCTGTTGTTGTGTTTTTTGATGGTGGGCATCCGCGCTTCTAGAATTTCTATTCCACTATCCCTGTTAATGTTGT